TAGGGAACAAATATTGAGTTTGGTATCTTTTATTTATTAACATTTAGTTCTTTCAATACTTGCCACTCTATATAATGGAGCATAGGATACATATTTAAGCTGTTTTTATGTGATTTTGCAGGAAGTTCATTTTTAATTCGTTTTCTGTCAGTATACAGGAAACTCTCGGTTTATGAACAACTTCCATTCCAAGATGTTGTTCGTTATACGTTTTTGTTCGTTGTGTGTATCTTATATTCCTGAGATTTTACAATACGTATCGTATACATTAGTAGCTATTTTAAAGCATTAAAACCATGTACTAAACATCGAATAGTCTATAAAATATGTTTTATTACAATGTATGCGTTATGGTTTATCATATACGATACATAACGTAAAATAAAATAAGAAAATAATAATAAAAAACATCATACTTGTTAATTTTAATTAGAAATATAAAGAGTTACAAAATATATATAAACAAAATGAGTACTAACATATTGTGCCATTTTAATCAGGTATTTAAATATAATAGGCGTGAATCAATTCAATTAAACAAAAGCCACATAGAACACAAAATCTAAATGAGAATATATTATCAGAAATCAAAACAATACAAAAAGAATAATAAACAAAATATACGCCAGTGTGACATCCGCTGTATGACCAACACAGTATAATAAGCTAAACACAAAACTTACCACAGCGGACGTCTCTACCGGCGGACCATCCGCACCAGGCTAAACACTACAGAACCAAAGTAAAATTTAGAAAAGAAAGCTGAAACGGAATTTGTAGGAGTGTATCTGGTGAAACCCTGTACAGAAGTGGTCTTCAAGTTACAAGTTAACACAGTCCCAAGAAGTGGATGGAAAAGGTAAAGGGGTGGGGAAAAGGACAACTGCACATGGCCATCAAGGCAAGTTCATAAAGATCGTAGTTTCATCAGTTTTCATAACCTTTTGCTTACAGCTGTCCATGGCACAATATGTACATACATATTTATTCAACTTTATAAGGAACTTTAAGTAATTTTGAATGAATTGTGACGTTTGTTATAGCAAAAGTTCGTAAACTGAGAGTTGCCTATAATTAGTATCAGAAGTGAACATAATATTTCAAGAAGAAAACATTTTATACAATGCTTTTCCACAGGGCATTGTTAGGTTAGAAAATTGGGATTATAAAATGTTGTCACATGGCACAGTTGCAGAGATTTAAACATGTTCTGTTGCTATTGAAACATCTGCAACTTTGAACAATACAACGTAAATTTTAAAACAATATATATATATAACAAAGGGTAGAGAGGAAAGTCTGTGGGATCACCTTCAGATTAGTGCATCTGTTAAAACATTCTGATGGAAAGGGTAAAAGCTTGCTAATCATCGTTAGTTAAGGTGAATGGGGACAAACAGTTCTGATTGCTGTAAGGCCTGATCATAGAAACTGACATAAATCTCTAAGGATGGTCTAAGCACCTCATGCTGTGGCATTGTGTATTTCATTCTTTGCATGTAAGCGCTCTCTTTATCCTTGATAATTTTTATTTGTGTGAAGAAGTAGTAGGAATTTATATCAGTAAAAAAATAATATATATATATATTTTTTTCTTCTTTCAAATTTGAACATGAACCTTTTTAGTGAGAAAAGCATCTTAGGCATCATGCCTTTAGTTGTTCTACCACCATAATAACCACAAGGATATAAAAATGCTGTATTTGTTTATTATTTATATATATAATGTGCAAAAATATCACTGTGATTTGTCAGTTATTTTAAAGAGTAGCAGAAGACTGACTAGAGAAGAGTCACTTTACAGACAGTCTCACTTTTGCTTTTGTACTTGCATTGCAATTCATCAAATAGTTTCAGGTTTGGAGTTTTTTATGGCTGTGATTATATAGATTATGATCTTCTGGGTTGTGGTACTGTATAAATTGTAGGTGAGTTACCAGAATTTTAGTGGGACATTATCACTTCCAACTTCTTGGTAGAAATATTTCTGAAGATGGGCACATATTCCTTGAAAACATTAATAACTGCCTATAAGACAGTGTGTTATCAAAACCTAAAGACCACAATTTGCATTTAGTCTTAAAATATTTACTCACTCTGTTTGGACTCCTCATAGTAGGCTGATTTTCGTCTCTCATATTCCTTGGTTGGAATGTAAGGGATTAATATCAGCATTTCAAACACAATTGTTTCTTTTAGTTCTGTGGAGTTCAATTTCTTTTAGTTTTTTTTGTATGTGTGTGTGTATATATATATATATATATATATATATCTTTTTTTGATTGACAAACTGAGAATCTGTTGGCTAATTGCTTGCAGATCTCCCAACTGCACCCCTTCGAAGCAGACCTTGTGTGAAAGGTAATTGTTAATGAATTATTTTTCTTTAAAAAATCAAAAACTGTGGCATTGGGTACTTGCCTGAAGAAGGTGTAAGGAGATAAGAATGTACCATGTGTTAATGTTTTATCATAAATTCCCAAATAGCTTATTTCTTGGTCTCACGTGTTAGGAATAGTGTCAGCATTCATTTGGCAATAGATAAATATGGGATGTGTGTTCAGCCCATACAGTTTATCCAATTTAATTTCCTGTTATATTTATTGTTCAGGTCGTCGTTTTCTTTGTTACACTGGGACAAGTCAGATTTCCTGAATGTAAGAAATGTTGCACTGAAACTTAATGTCTGTGCAGTGGGAATACACTAAAATATTGTAATGATTTAATATTTTAATTTGGGGTCGCAGTCATGCAGTTATACTTCTCTAGCTATCTTAGACCTGTGCATGGACTAAAGTAAATTGTAATGCAGATTAGAGTCCACTTGTATATAAAAAAAAGTTGGTGAATTGCATGTGTTTTGAAACAAATAAATTGTTTTAAAATTATTTGTCCCAATTTTCTATAGTATAACTTCGATGGTTGTAGAAAAGTCATAAAATATGGTATCCTTTAAGACAAAACACAGGGTCATATGTGAAAGATGTTATCTAAACATTTGAAATAATGTTTTGGCTATAATCAGAACTTATTTAATGAGAACTTTTGTCTTTCTCTCATATTACATTCAGTTAAAACTTGTCATTTTCAAAAAATGTGGTTAAAATCCACAACTTACTCTACCAGTCATTAATTCAGAATTTTGTTTGCAGAGTGTATTTGTGGGTTTTGTATGATTCTGAGAACAGCTTTAATAAGTTGGTCTTTGAAAGGGAGGTGTGTTGCATTTTCTTTGAGGTAACAGGATATTTATGTTATTTATATGAGCTTCAAAAGTTTAAACTTCCCATTACCATACCCTCATCAAAACTTGCTGTTTGATTGAAAAGCTACAAGGTAAAGGAGGAGCAATGCTGGCAACCAAGTCTGTCACATTGCCTTCCTATGTCTAGTGTGACACATCAGTAGACAGGTTTTAGCCAGACTTCTGTAGTACATATAGAGTACGGTTGTGAAGCAAGTATTTCTTTGTTCTCGGTGTTATTTGCTACACATTTTGTAACTTGAACCCTGCAGTGTCTGTTGCTACTGTTTGATATTCAGTATTGCCCAGTTTGGGTGTTCGTTGTGAGTGTGGAGATTGTGATAAGACTTTTGAATAAACCACAACTGCTTTCTGCCTCTTCTTTCCTGATTAGCCATTAATGCTACTTTGAAAATTGAGATTCATATGTTTTAGTTACTGATATTGGTGGAAGAGGACAAAACATTTTTTTTTTCCCCCGGATAAACTTGATGACTGAGTTTGAACTAGACATTCAAATTTACTGAAGCAATACATGTAGCTTCATCTGCTTAGGATCTGCAAGACAGAACTTCATTTTTAAATGTGCAGTTAATAGGACAGTTAGTATGCATGAATATATTCTCTCTTACTGGCTTTTACCCATTTCCTGTTTTCCTCTAGATCAGTAGACAAATGGTACAGTTAATATGATTGGTTGTGTATCCTGCAGAGACCTTAAATTGCAATCATATTTTTTAGATTTTTGTGCGTTTCTGTTTTGAAGGAATTGATGGTCTTATAAAGGGGATAGCTTTTGATATCATCAGTGTCATGTAAGAAGTCAGTAACTGTATTTTGAAAGGTTTCAGTTAAAAAGGTGTTTTAATGTTTTTCTCACATCTGCATTTGAAAAACAGTTTTTTAAATATCGAACTCCATTTCTTTGATAAAACGTCAAGATATCAGTTATTGAGCTTTACATATACTTGCAGATGAGCTAGATTTGATGCACTATATGGCGAGGTTTTGATTAAAATATCAGGTAGAGACTTCTCTGCGGCACAAACAATATATCTTGTACCTTGTTAAATTTTTATTTTGACTATGGCAAAAAAAAATATTTTTTTACATAGCATGCCACCTTTTACTGACTGAAAAGTCATGCATCTCAATGCTGATATATTTTTATTGTATAAAAACCGATAATGTTGGTATTGAAAATGACTACCACTTTTGGTGATGCATGAAGTTATTCTTTTCTGTGTATCTGAGTTACTTGAGTAATTTCAAAATGCATATCTCAAATGTTTTGTTTTAATTCTACAGTTCTTCCAATTTGTGAGGGTTGTTTTTGCAGCCACTATCTTTTAAGGATCCCTGGAGATAAAAATCAGGTGATAGATAACTGACATTTGGATTTCTCACATTTTGAGAAATATTGCAGTGTAAATAATTCTTGCAATATTTTCGTTTTGTTTATGAAATTAACTATTGGTCCAGCCTGCTGGAGTCAGTAGTCTTTTTTCAGCTTCCAGAAGATAAATTAATTGCCTGCTCACTTGTGGTAATACTCTGCATTTACAATATCTCTGAAGAAAAGGGGATCAATAACATGCTGACGTGAAACACCACACAGCTCTTCAACTTTTAATGAATATAAAAACTGCTCATGGAAAATACAGAGATTTTCAGCAGTCCATACTAAGCTGTATTTGCTATATTTACACATACAGAATCTCAGAAACATTTTATTATACAGACTACTGTGGTGTTACTGAATGTATTTGGAATGTATTTCTGAATTTGTGTAATCATTCTGTGACTGTGACAATAACTCCAGTATTTTCCAGACATCTCTTTCAAAAAAAAAGTTTTTGTGCACATTTCTATATATTCAGTGGTGTTAATTATGTGTACACCATGAATTTGACATAATCAAAATAACCAGAAAATTGTTTGCATCTTCTATCTGCTAATTTTGTAAGTAATTTTTTGTTGATGTTTTGAGTTTCTTGAGATGCAGTAATATTCAGTTTGTCAGTCACCATTAAGTTACAGATTAGGATGTAGAGACTTGACATCCGTTGCTCTAACTCGCGTTGCTTTTCACTTTTATTCTGCCTGATTACTAAATGTGTTTTTTGGTTATGTAAATTGAATTAAACGAAGACAGTCCTCTGCTTATTTGTTTTTAGGTTGAAGGAATAGTTAAATCTGCAAGTCATGTTTCTCCTTGCTTATGCATGCACACATACAGTTGTCCTGAACCCAGTCTCTTGGAAAGTGAATGTGCCAGTCTTGCAGAACTGATATATTCTGTTCATAATATATTGTAAATTTAATATGAATACCATTTGTTACCGGCATAATTTGTTATGTGGTTAGTTGACTGAACCAGGAAGTTTGTTTCTAAAAGATAATTGAAACATTCTTTGTATCTTCTGCCCCTTGTGTAGTGCAGTAAATATCCTTTGAATTATATATTTTAAATTGTGCACCAATAAATTTCTGTTGGAAGCAACTCGCTAGAGCTTCTTGAGTAATGGCTGAACAAATGTTAGCTTAGTTTTATCCTGTGCTGTGGCTGTAAAATTGCATTTAGTACATTTAAAAATCGAGAAAATCATGAAGTTAAAATAGCAAATTGTACAGTGTGTTAAATAAGGTGAATTTTCTAAACTGTTTTGGTGCATGGGTGGAGTAGAAGCCGCTTGCCCCCCTCCCCCCACCAATGAAATTGCATTTTGAAATGTGTGTTTAATCTTGTTGTATTGCTAGTTTTTTTAAGAACTTAGGTGTTAGCTCTTGAGTACACAGAAATTCATTATGTGGAAATTGATTATCTGTGTCATTTATTGCATATAACTCAGTCATTAATCAGTATGCAATACTGTTACATTAGTTACAAACTAAGAACCACAAAGAAGTTATTTACTGTACTCCTGATCTGTATGAAATTAACATATTGCAGGTATATATGAGTTGTCCTTTTTTGTATAGCTCATCAAAAGCACTCAAGAAAGAGGCAGCAGGTTTTTCTTCTCATGGAGCCAATGAAGATGCATACAACCAAGCTATATATGCAGCTGCTATTGCTGTTTCTGGGAGTGGTGGAATTCTTGGGCCTTCTCCTGGAGTTCAACCATCCTCTCCCCCTCCTGGGGGTCTAGTAGGAAGGCCCATTCCCAGAATTGGTATTTGTGAGTCATCTCTAACCCCTCCTACCAACCTGGCATCTCGAGCTGGTGCAGGTGTGCACGCCACAAACATCTCTGCATCATCCAACCATGCTGATGGCTCTCATACACCCCCAACTGGAATGGGACATGCGTTGACAGATGATGTGATGGTGGCAGGGGGAGGTGGTGAATCAATGTCCTTACAGAGGCAGCTTTCAGTGCTGTCACATTCACTCGTCAATAATTTGCCAATCAGAGTAGAACAGCTCTTGGCTCTTCGTAATGAGAAGGAAGTAAGTTCTAGTCATTGTATTGATTTGTTACATATTTGTATGATTCATCGAAGCATGTAAAAATACACCATGTGAGAACATGTTCATTTTGTACCTTTCATGATTAAGAAAGAAAACTGAAGTTCATGTTCTTCATGATGTGTCTTTTATATTTAGTGTTGCTAGACTACTCAGGTAATTAAATTACATCATTGTAAAAGGAATTATTAATTGGTGTTGAAACAGTATATGTACCTCATAAACCAGCATAGCATTCATAATGAAAATCAAATTTAATTTTACATAACCACACAAATGCCAGGGCAGAGAAAGCCCCCCACCTTAGGACTGAGAGTATAATAATGTGCTACTTAATTAGGGCTGTCACACATCTTGTTGGGTGGTGATAGATGGCTATCGAACAGTGGAGTTATAATGATAAGCAGGCGAAACTGAAGAATGTGGAGAAAAACTTGCTCCAGTACCACTTCATCTACCATGAATCTTACTTTCAGTCACCCAGCATTGAATCTGGGTTCACAGTTAGAAACCAGTGTCTAGCTGCCTGAGCTGTGGCATGACCTAGATAAACAGTACTGTTAGAAAAGTTTAAATAGACACACTTAAAGAAAGCATCATAAAGTAAGTGATGGTGCTTTCTTCCTTTCATTCTCAGGTTCATATCATTTGTACATGTTATTCAGGAGTTTTTGAATTGGTTTTGGTTTTCTCCTGACTTAACACACAAGTTTCAGACTGGGTTGTTGTTTGTCTCTTGGCCATTAAAAGGATATAAAGGTGGAATGGCTTTTTGTATGTCCTTCAGGCTGATCCCCATACTCATCAACTGATTGAAAACCTGCATTCAGAATTGAGGCAAGCAGCAGTACATGGAGCAAACAGGTTTAATAGTACATCATCAGTGGCATCACACCCCCACAAACTAGATCCGAAGCAGCACGTGTTCAACCCTGAAGGTATGTACTTAGAAGATAATGGAATATAAATAAATATTACTTTACCCTGCATAACATGCTGATGCAATTTCTTATATGAAGTTTCACAGCTGTTTAACATAGCTTGTAAATATATGTTATTTTATTTGTTGAGACCGAAAGAACAAATGTGTTTAGTTCTTTCCAAATTGTCCATTCTGAATGAAAGTTGAAATGGTTTGATAATTTCTCGTGAACTTCTCCAGTGTTAAATTTAATTAAAATTGGGAATAATTGTATCAGTTCTACGTGAACACATCTTATATCTCTCACCACATTACCAGCCATAATTCAGACACAGATTATATTATAGATTAGTCTTACATTACACTGTGTATATATTCATTAATGGTCAGATGGCGGTTGCACAGAACAATATTCTTTATGCCCAGATTCAAATCTGATAAAAACAATTTCAAATTGCTTCCTTACAAAAAGTATCTGTGTGGTAATTAATATATTGCACTAACATCTGTAGCTTTCTCTGAAGTGTTTTATGTTTTGTTTATATTTGTGGTAATATAAATGTTTATATATAATTTATTGTAAAGTGCCAGTTGTAATTGGCAAGCAGGGCTGTGCAAAGGTATATAGGGGCCTTAGGGCAAAGCTCCATTTGGGGCCCCTCCAATATTTTTGATAACTTGTGGAGCCCCAGTGCCCCTCCCCCACCTACGCGGCCTTGATGGCAAGGTAATATAAGTTCATATTTTGTCATATGGTCTGTCCTATGGAATTTTAAAAATATGAGGGGTTTAGGAGTTGAAAGGTGTGACAGACATGGCATGTACTTAGTATTCATGTTACATACACAAAAATGCAGTCTTCATGAAAGGACTGATTTGTATATTTTATATAAATTTTATGTGAACAGTCATATTAAAAAGTAAAACCATTGTCTGTTAGATGAAGTTTGGGAGTTGCAGTACAGGTATAGGTGTTTAATATGCCTACCACTGACCTTGATCTTATTTCAGAAAGAAAATGAAACTATTAAATACTCACCCCTTGCATAATAATCCTTCAGAATGTATGAAAATTAGAGGGAAGAATAACACAGTCATTATACTTCTTACCTGTTTATCATAGAAACACTGGTAGGTGTACAATATTTTTCATGGACTGTGGTAACTGCATACAACCATAAATGGAGCATATCCCAGAGGACCACAGTTTACATTTTCACCTTAATGAAAACTGTAAACTCTCATCTTTAAATTTTCATTTTTACAGGAAACTGTCATTTGATTTAGTTTATGTACTATCTCTTGGTAACTGAGGTAAATTTTTATTGTGTAGTTGCACTACCCTACACTTATATTCAGGTGTGAATTTGTGTTTAATATTTTTGCATGCCTCAACAATTAGAAGTCATAATTTCCACTCATAATCATAAGGTGCTTGAATTTGTTATTGACAGGAGGTAGTTCATGGGGTCGGGGTCACAAGCTTGACACTTTTGATGCCTACGTGGAGTATGCAGGTGATAATGCAGTGAGCAACAATACAGGACGTGCCAAGGAGTCAACTTCTCTGGCAACCGATGGGGTCCGAGCAACCCTGGCAGATTTGTTCTCTCGGCATGGTCTGTCAGGTGCTGCTGGCATACTCATGAAGCCACAAGTCAAGGATTCAGGTACAGTACCAGCTCCTCAACAGTCTCGCACTTCGCTCCTACACTCGGGTTACAGTGGTGATGTTAAAAGTGAGCCAAAGTCTACAGATGCTGCCCCTGAGGGTCTGCCAATTTCAACAACTTATAACACTACGGAGCCTAGGGTAGATGGGGATGGTAGCAATCCTGGTGATAATGTTTCACATAGTCCTCTCACCTCAGCTGATAGGGGAGGGTACCCTCCAGTGATAGTAACAGGTATGTTTCCACGGGGTCATGGTAGGGGATGGGGTCCACCTAGACATCCTTTACTTCCTAACCCACCTAATATGCATTCAAACATACCCCCTCATGTTGTAGAAAGTGTACCCACTATTTATACACGTCCTCCACCACCCATTCAGCATAGGCCAGTGAATCCTTGGGGTGGGGGAAGAGGTGGTGGAAAATACAAACCTTGGAATGCTCAAGGACATTCTACAAACAGATAGTGAAGTGGCAGAATTGATTAGTGGACATAAATCAAATTATTCTGACTGATAAAACCGTATAATTTTTGTTAATCAGCAGTTGAAGATTTTGTGCCCTCAGGTTGCATGTGGATGAGTGAAATGTGGACAAACATATGAATACCTAATCATTACCAAATACTGCTTTGTATATAGAGAAACACTTATTTCAAATGACAAGATGTTGGGAATTATTATATCATTTCTTAGGAATATGATTCGGTTTTCTTTTTTCTTTCATAATTACACATTCTTTACCAGCAATTTTATGGTGGTAAATGGAACTCCCATATATGCTGTACAGTCATTGGCAAGATTCATTCTTGAAGTTTGATTGCTGTGGTCCCATTATTCTTTCTTCTTTTATGTGTACAAGTACTTTGAATTTCCTCATACAGTTATTAATAAGAGGAGAACCAAAAAGCAACATATTGTGTATAGTTTGTCATTGGTTAATAATAATGTTAATAATTACAAACTACATTTTAAGATTGCACATATTCTGTAAATGGAGTGGTCATTTTAGTTTGGAAGTTTAGATCAATTTTCAGCTTGTGTTTAAAAAGATGGGTGACTAGCTGATATTAACAAAATTTTGTTTTTATTCTCAGAATGTCTGTGTTTAATTGGGCCATGGTAAAAAACATACCATTATGGTTATTGCTGTTGGTGTTATTGTAAATGGATACAGTTTATGATCAGCACTCACTATAAGGACTGTATCATATGTCAAATGTTATAGCAAAGTCTCTGTTATTTTTTTCTTCTTTTGCTTGCATATAATTTGTATGAAATAGAGAACATTCTTTTAAACCTTAAATACTTTGTTAATATAAGACAAATGACCTCCATTTTAATTTAAATTATTATTGATGTGCAATGAAACAAGTATATTTTGTGAATGTGCTATTTTTTGGCGTTGTCATCATGTCTGTTCAGGGAGGAGTTTTTATAACATACACCCTACATGAAATTTACATACAAGCAGGACATTGCTTAATCAACATAACCATTCATCGTTACACCCTCAGTATGTGTGTGTGGTGTGAACATTAAAATGCAAATCACTTTTATGTGCTTTCAAGGGACCCTTTTTCCGGTAAATACTTGTTGTCACAGTTCCTCTTGTTTAGTATACTAGGTTATGTAGCTTTCTAAAGATGACATTGCTTTCAGTTATCTGCTACTGGTTATTATTAAATTACCTTGCTAGTATCCCCACCTTCATGGAACTCTTGTAAAGTAAGTTACAGTATTTGTTCTTAGGAATGTTTTGACATATACTGCAGTCTTTGTGGTAAGATCAAACTGAATGTACCCTAGCACTTCCTGCAGCCTTTTCACTGTGCTCTGGATCCAGTCACACCTTTGAAGACTAAAGAAGGAACTTGCTAATATCATACTGCTACCCATGTTTGTTTTGGGTGTACGTATTTATTTTACAGTGACCTGACAACTAATCATGAGGTTGGTTTTCTATGGGTAAGCAACACATATACAGGGCTACTCTAAAAACAGCATAAAATTTATTAGACAACTTTTCAGTGTCATACTTAACTTGTGTAGTATTTTATAAATAAAAAAATAAATTCTGTCTTCATTGACATTTGTAGGACATTCTGTGTATTACAGTTCTAATGGCTTTAACCACTGTCAACTGGAGCTTTTATTTATTAGTTAACAAACGTTTGTAATAAGTACAAATTTTGATTTTGTGTCACATTTTTTGATATATATTGAGCAGTGTTCAACATATATAGTTATCATAACAGTCTGGTTCATAGCAACTATAAAAGATATGTTTAAAATATGTAGTATATTCTGTTGATTGCCATTACAAAAGGAACAGTACATGTGCCTCATACTTTGAGTTGCAAAGAGATGGGAAAGAACATCTCTATCTGTCAAATATTGGCAACATGCTTTGCTGCTCACCTTTTAGTGTTACTCATTTTTGAAACTATTTAAAATTTTAAAAAGAAACAGTTCAGAATAAAAATTAAATTTGTACAAATTTTGTACCCTATAAAGAGTAGAAGTTGTTAGCACAGTTGCCTTACATGCTCTAAGTTCTTTATTAGCACTGCAGTTAGTAGAACATTGTTCTGTATCTCCCAGCTTCCTTTTATAGTGAACGTGGCCGTCATGTTTGATCGTGTACTGGGATTAAGGACATCTGTGCATTGCATATGTTATCCAGAAGAGTAATTTAATAGGCAGTATTCACATATTATTTGTTGTTATTTTGTAAGATTTACACATGAAAGCATACTGTGTTGTTAGGGATGTAGTAAAAAAAATTGACATCTCAAGTCACACAACAGATAAGGACTAGCTCTGTGAATTGAAGTTTAATCTGTTTTTCAGGTTAGTCCTTGCATGTAATGTTGTTCTGTCCATGCATAATATCGATTAAACATTTATTGAGTTTGAGTTCTCTATAATGAAGACTGTGTCCAACTAACAACAGGTTGTTGCAGTCCACAGCTCTTAAATAACTATCTTCAGCCGCACTTTTCGCCTACTGCACAATATTTATTCTTATGACTACAATTTTACTCCCCCCCCCCTCCCCCACAGCATTTCCAATTGTACATTGCTGATTTTATTCTCACATTTATATATAATTATATTAAAGTATTTTCCTATATTTCTTAAGTCTACAGCATTAGTACAGTTGAATTATTCTTTTGTCAGCTACCTCTTTTTAACAATGAGCCATTTTCTACTCAAAAATTATTCCATATATTTCCTTATTTCTGAGCCTTTTAATAGTATGTGTATAGCATACTTTTCTCTACATAGAGGAAATCTACCTTTCTCAGATCCTTTCCTCATCACTCTGTTTCCAAATACCAGTCTAACACGAAGCATATTTGTCTCGGTATCATGGCATCATTATATTTGTCTTATTCAAGTTCATAAGTTCTAAGATTTTATAGCCATCTTTAAATTTCAGTACTTGTATTTATAACGTCAAATGAATTGCCTTCATAGTGATTGAGGTTCTCATGACAGTGAGTGCAAAGATGGCTGTCTTTTGGGCTGTAGTGCCATGTAGTCTGAAGTTTACCAGACTGCATAGCACTACAACCTGGGAGGCAGCCATCCTTTAATTGCCTTGTATTGAGAATGAACTGCTGTAGCTGGTTTCTCCATAGTAATTTCATATTTCTTTAGTTTGCCTGAACTTAAACACTTGGTATGTTACATGTATTATTTTCAATTATGTATAGTGGGATCATTCTTTAATATGGAGGTATGTTGTTAGATCGATTATTTGTTTTGTATATAACACAGTAATATGAGAGTAGTTGTTAGGAAGTGTTTTTAGAAAGTGAATGACTTGAGAACTGTACTGTGCCTTGTGCCACAAATCCACGTCTTTGGTCTAATGCATAATCACATTTTTTTCTCATCTGGTACAAGGCATGATAAATTGCCTGTAAACTTTGTAATTAATAATCAAGAGAAATGGATAAAGGAAGAAATGAAGTAAGGTTTAATGTTTTCCACGAGTTATACACAGTGATGGTGATGTACTGTTTCTTGAAAAAAGGAAACTTACTATGAAATGAACTTGTGTTCGTGTATATGAATCTGCTAATGGAAGTGTAAGGTGATGTGAATATTGGTATGGCATGATCCAGTACATTCCTCTACAAGTCCAGCCCAAATAATCCAGTCATTGCAGTACGAAGAGTAGGTGGATTAGTTCTCTCTGACTCACCATGTTGCTGACACTTGATTATTCATCTCATTTGGTGGAAATGGCTAAATAAAATGAAGGAGCATGTAACCAGAGTTGGAAATAATTATTATGTGATAAAGACTACTACATTTTCAACACACCAATATCCAACCAGTGTTCATCTTTTTGGATGTTGTACTTCAGTCTCTCAGTCTTGAAATGCTTTAATATTTTTAGTAAATATTGTGTTAGAATTTGAGCTTCTCACGACAATGAGTACAAAGATGGCTGTCATCTGGGTTCTAGCACTGTGTAATCTGGTAGAAATTTACAAACATTTCAGAGGTCCTTACTACTTCCATCATCAATGTAAACTTCTACCAATCTGTATAACATTACAACCCAGAATATAGTTATCTTCACTATGATTTTTGTTCAGTAATTGTGAATAATTTTTGTATTACTTCTGCATGTGTTTATCACAGGCTGGGAGAATTGCATCCATTAAGATGGGATACATACCTATAAATATGTTTTTCATGTAACTCTAGGCATTGATGATGTAACTCTCTTCTCTCCATTCTCCAGTGCAGTGGAGAATGAGAATTTAATTGATGGCATAATTTTTCAATTTCTGCACATCTAGAAATATTTGAACAAGATTTGTGTGTAAGCAGAGATAATGTTATGTCTCATCCAGTGCAAAGAGCTGCATTTGTAAACAGTTTCCTCATCCTTCAAATGAACGATCTTCTAAACAGTTATTTTCATTAGGAACTCTATGGTTTACAAATTTTACAGTAATTATAGATAACACCAGTAAATTCAGGTTTACTTTTTTAAATATAATTATTAAGCTCTTTGTGATTTGCATATCTTTTGTGATTATATGTGACATTTTTAGCATATTTCCGCTATGCTATAAGGAGAGATTGAAGCTCTGGAACAAGCTAAAGGATTTTCATGCAACTAGAGGCACCTTACCTTTGTACTTCCCAGTTTCTAAGTATTTATAATACCAGTTGAAATTCTGAGGTGGGAGTGACATTAGCGCCATTTAATGTTGGATCCTGTAGTGTGTGTGTGTGTTTCTTTTTCTTTTTTTCTTTCTTTCTAGTTTCACCATTTAAGTAGAAGTATTGAAAGAAACTTTGGCATAAGTTTTGCTACACTTTCTTTTTCCAGTGAAGCTGGTACAGTATTCACATGATTGTAAAGTCAGACCATCATTTTAATACAAGCTACAAGATGATGATGAAGCATCAAAGAAAATATCATTTCATGGAGTATTACAAATTAACATAATACTCAGCAGAAGAAAATACTGTAGCACAAGAAACTGCCACGAGCATTGACCATATTAACCTGTAAAAGAAGCATCTCATTTATTTTCACTGTGCTGATTCTTCTCTGCACACATTCCAAATCATATTTTCTGTTGTCTTAACGTAAGAAAAAATACCTGTACCCAGAGACAGTCCCGCCCATGATCCCCTTTATATGTCTGGCCCTGTCTTATGGAAGATTTTAACAATTTCCAGACCTTGTACATATTAAGTGAACAGATGACTAGATGAGGGGATATGTGGGTTTAGGGGAAATGTTCTGAGTATCATATTTAGAAAGCACAGACTGTATGAAATAATGTTGTGGTGAACTGTGTAAAATATTGGTACATGCTTGGATTTGATGTGTATGTTAATATGCATGACAGAAATATTCAGCTTTTCATCCACACACACCTGCTGGCCACCATCTACATAGAAAGTATTGCACAATAAATATTCATATATGTGTGGATTTGACCACTTGAAGTAGTATGGCACGAAGCTGTAGAAACTGTCATGTCAGATAATATGCAAAAAGAAACATTTAAAAGGAAACTGGTGAACAGAGAGGATGTTCAGGTGTTGATACCATCTTCTAGCACTGAAATGGAGGAACATCTGGGATGAGTACATTGTGTCTACCACAAACCAAGATAGAATACTGGCAGTGACTAATGTGAGAGGACAGAGCTTGCACCTATTTTATGTTATAACAAGCATGAACTTAATGTTGACCATAGCAACCAGTTACTGCTGTATTAACTTATTTGATGAGTATCAGATGAAAATGGTAGAAGAAACTCTATGCTCATGGCAGTTATGGACTTGCATTGTACCAATGTAAACCAAGATTCTTGCAAAGATATGCCTACATTAATAACTGAAGGACATAATTTGAGTTACTTCCAGCCCTGAAAATTGAGGTAGACATTTTGCATGGAGGTGACTGTCTAGGAAGGGAAAACCACGTCCATTCCACAATTCCTCTCGCTCCTGAAAGTGTATAGTGTACACTAAAAAAGAAAACTGGTGATGCTGAAAGTGCACAAATTTTTATTCTAGACTCAGAATATTTATTGGATAATGCCTGAGATGTATGCCAGTCATGAGAATTATTGTGGCAAAACTAGTGATGAACGTAATGATGTCAGAATGTAATAAATAAATTTGAGGTACAGAATTTGGCATCTGTGAACTTGCAACATGGCAGTCATAGATTTCTACAGTTATTGAACAGAGACAGGCTGATATTAAAAATACAATACATATTTATTTGGATATCAGAAACAGGTAAGTTTTAACTGCATTGGACAGCCTACAAAATATTTTAGTTTGAAAGCGAATATCCTCAATTGTGAGAAATTCATTTGTAACAAAATATTTAGTCCTTATTCTTTAATGTGATTTTCAAACTTAAATCCACAAAACATTAATAAATATTTAGTAATTGACCAAATGCTTTTGTTGTTTTCCATTGGATTTTCCCCCTTTTTGTACAGTATAGAAGGATCTGAAAATGTTTGTATCTTAAAAGTTAGATTAGTACTAAAGTTCTTTATATACTTACAACATTCAGGCATGGTGACAGTTTAAGTTAGTACTTCCATAGCATTCGTTTGCTACGATTCAGTTCAATCTTGCCATTTCCTAAAATTATTACTACTACATGTCAGTGTGAAAATTGGTCTCTCATTCTAAGGGACCAGTACAGTACAGAGGCAAAAATTTGTCTCTATGTGAGGAAGTGACACATGACTAGAAAATTGCCTACTGAGAAGTTTTATACTTTCAAAACCAAATATTATTATGGTGTTCAAATTGAGGGGGATGTGATAAGCATGCAAAGGAGACATGAGAAGTGCATGCAAAATTATAGTCCATAAACGTGAAGAGCAAGGGACTGACTATGGAATGTTTACTGTGTGTGGTATGTGGACAGAACAAGTCTTGTGTTGAGCAGTTCTTACATGGCAATGTATGAATAACAGACATGGTACTTAACCGTTTAAAGCCCAATGGTAATAATATGTACCACATGCATCTGTAATTGCATTTTTCCACCATAGTGTATTTATGGGTTTTGTATAGATCTCGTAGTTAACATCAATTATTTTTGAAATAGCATTAACCACTTGATCTTTGTAATGGAGATGTGTTCTCTTTGCAGTAGGAACTGAAGCTATAAATATTATTATGGCAACTTTGGCTTCAAAGCATTACAACTGTTCAAGAATCTGTGTTTAATATAACAGAATTGATTTCATTGTACAAAACAATTTTATAGGCTGTGTTCTAGTCATTAAGTATTTTACAAAAATAACTTCACTCCTGAATACTGAAAGTACATAATTATTAAGATAATCTTCTGCATCTGTTTTATTTGGAGTTTTCTCTTTATTGAATTAATGTTACTTTCAGTATTGGTATGGAATACAGAACTTCTCAGACATCAGGACTGAGTTTTCCTAATTTTGGTTAATCTATGAATGCTGAAGTGTCTTCACCATCCAGAATTTTAATTTACCATGTTGAAGGGTGGGGTTCTTATTCTGTGGGATTTTGAATTGGAATGCTGTAAAGAAATAAACCAGCAAATTATAGGTTAGGTTTGACTAACCTCCTTGCATACATAATACAGATAGTTTCACATATCTCCGAACCCACCTACTAGCTGTGTTCTGCAGTGTGACTAACTCATTTCCCAATAGGACACTCACTGCAGGTTCTACATTTTAAATGGGACAAACTGTTTCCCATACGTGCATATAACATTCTTCATCTGTTCCATAGTAGAAGTGAAAGAGCAAAAGGGTGTGTGCATACTGTATTTGATCTCACTAGAAGCCAAATTATTCCTCTACAAAAGAATAGCAGTTACTGCATTCTGGCTTTACCAGTTTTTATTAAATTTGATATTAGTATTTAGTCCTTACTTAAACATACAGACAAAATTCAGTTTTTGTTTTATTGGATGACATGAATTACTACTTTTTAGTAGGTATACTGTTAACATTTCAGCCTTCCTGAACATTGATATAGATGCATCCAAGTTAGAATGGCAGTGGGGTATGAAGTAAGTCATAAAATATGAAACATACAGACAAGTACAGTTCAAAGTAATGTAAAGATTTCATGTAAAATAGAGGTTTCGCATAAAGTGTTCAATTACATATACTGTAGATGTGTTATGCTGTCTAATGACAAAAAACCATTAGAAAGATAATGAATCATTTTGAAACATTAGGAATCAATGAACAAAGTAAAAGATGTGTGTATTTAAGTACCTTTTTTGTGTTACATTAAATTATCCCTTTTTATTCATGAAACTTGAGACTTGATGGTGGACTCAAATATTTTGATGCCAGAATTGTATGCATTTTTTTGAAAACATGAATTATTGGTGATTGGTCTGTGGAGAAGATCTCTTTTTCTTGTGTTGACATTGTGTATAGCTGATTTTACTCAGAATGTTCTTGATTATGTACAACAAAGTTTATTCATAAAAATTTGTTTTCGCATGGAAGTGAGAAAATCTTGAGGCCACTTTTAGGCACAGGAACACGAAGTTTGCCATATAAAGTGTCTGCTAATGCCGTGCAATTTTAACCAATACTGGAATTTGTGATAAATGTTAGTGAGACTCCTAAATATAAAATTTCTTGAAAATTAGTTCAGTGGCTATCAAGTCACACATAGACAGGCAGAAGTGGCAAAGCTAATGGTGCATTATTGCAACATCATTTTCAGTACACCTAAAGAGAATAACAAATTCTTCTATAAACTAG